TAATTAACTAGGCAATATAAAAATAAAAAATACAAAAATTCCATACAGTATATTTTCCCCCCTATATTTTGAGGTTTATATGTGCATCACACTTCAAGTAAAAGTTAAAGGGATTTTTTTTACATATTCTTCTTGTATTACTCCTTAATTTACTTAAACATATTTAATAATTAAATTTGTTTTACAATTCCAGTAAAGTAAAATTCTTATAAAAAAATGTTAACTAATATTTTTAGGACAAAAAAATACTACGAATTCTGCAAACCACGGAGGTGTAAGAAATGTCCGTATCTTGATGTACATCAGTTAATGCCCGACTAAGGATACCAAGATTTCCTCTGGCAATCTGCCAAAATACATCAACTCGTCGTTTTAGGTAGAAGCATACCCATCAAAGGGACTCAAAAATCCGCTTTTACTAGTTAATTTAGGAATGTATTGCTTCTGGAATATTTTGCATAACAGTCAGTGATTTTCTTATCCAGCTATACTGATTCAAGGACGATAAAAGCAAACTACACCTATCCACTCTTACTTCATTAATATAAATCGAATCCTGACTGCACAAGTGTATTTGTGCTTACTGTTGCACTATTCTTGGTTATAACAAAAGACATCTAACACGTTCTAATTCCTCAAATTACATAATTATTTTTTTTAAAAATCTTCCGTACAGAGGCGGTATAATTTTATAAAGTGCATTATGCAAGTTATCAGAAAACATTTTCCAAAAATTTGTTGCTAAGCTTTCTTATCAAGCAAAACTCTTTCCTCTTCTGCATTCTTTTAAGCATTTTTCACTCATAAGGGAAAAATTGAATTAGAACAATTTTTCTTAAGAAAACAAACTGAATGCTTTCAGATTTTATATTATCCCAAACCGATGCCCCCCCCCCATTTACACAAATTACACGTATCTGAGCTAACGCTACTTTGTTCTAAAAATATTTTAAAACGCATATCTTTAGAATTCCCGACTGACAGCCTTGCGCACTAAAGATAAAAATGATTCATTCCCTACAAAGTTGCCACTGCTCGGTTTGAAAGTGCTGAGGTTTTTAATTAAAAATTCGTTTAAAGTTTTACAAAATATGAAACAGACAATAAAAAATTCGAAATTCCAGGTGCCCTTGTTCGCACGTCATTCATAATTTGAGGGCTTCTAGGTTCCGTTGTTTTTCCGCAATGAGAGAAAGATGCATACATTCATGTGCTCTTCATAATTTAGTTTCGCTCACCAGCGGCCGAGCGGTAAAGTCGCTGAACACTGGTAGTTCGGTCCGAGGTTCGAATCCCGCTAACGGGCTGGCTGCATGGGCGTTTTCGTGGTTTTTCCCATGTGTAACGTGTATACGAGCCACTTTCCCTTAGAAAGTCCACTCCCCTTAGGCAGATAGCCCTAGTGTGCTTTGCCATAATTAAATACACCACTACCATAATTTAGTTTCTTTAAAAATAATACAAAGCGATAATATTTCGTGGGTGGCAACAATTTTGAAAAGTGATTCGCGGCAAAATGCCGTTTTGAGACTAATAGCCCTTCTCGACTAATGGCTATTTCGATTTAAAAAAATATGCGTGCAGTACCATAACCTAGGAGATACAGAAAACTGAAATTAATTTAAATATGTATAAAAAATAAATTTCTGATTCTGATATGTATTTATCTTCCTTTCATATTAAATTTTTAAGCTTATACACATTAAAATTTACACTACAGAATAAATATTTTTCTTTGATGAAAAAATAGCATATCATTTACACGTAAAAATCCAATCAACAATGAATCGGTCTCGATATTTATTTCAGTAAGCATCAAAAATTCGGTAATCATTACTTGCATGCAGAGACTTATAGAATAAGCAACCGGTAATAGTATAAAAATGCTAAGATGTAGCATTAAAATGCAATTATGAAAATTTCAATTTTCTACAGACACACCAAAAAAAAAAAAAAAAAAAAAAAAAAATCAACGATTTTTAACAAATTAACTACTAGATTTACTCTGTTAACTTCTAAGATATCAACATAGTCCTCACATACACACATCTCATCAGGATAATTAAATCTATATTTTGAACTCCCACCCCGTTCAATAAAGAACATTCCGGGGTAAGATAATTAAACGCACGTATTTCTATTCTCTTTTTTTCCTCTCCTTATTTTAGTTATTTTAGTTCGTACAGATATTAATATACAACAAATAACAGTAATGATAAAACAATTTTTACTACAGCCGATACAGGAGGAAGATTTCACATATACATTATTAAATGCCAACTGATGGGAATTTTATGCTGCTGACACAGCAGTTTAGCATTATTTGCGGCTATTCTGGAGCAGAATTTCATGAGACACATTTTTTTACCCTCTCATTCTAGTACAGACTTCCCATAAACTTTTAAATAATTTTTAAAGATAATCAATCCATTTGTTTTATTATAAAAATTATCTTATTATTTGGAACAATTTAAAGAGTGAACGGTAAAATCCTAGTTGCTAGCGTAAGCTATGTTAATACTTTTATGTAAAATGTTTCCCATATTTACATAAAAATTACATAAGCTCCAATGAAAAAGTACACAATTCTCAACGCAAATCAACAAATTACAATGGGAAACGTATTTGTAGAAAATTCTCATTTTTAAAACAAACTATCTGCTTGTTTAAAAATTATCTGATATAATGAAACCTGAACATAGTTAAGCAGTTACACCTACATCTCAACTCTAGAATCATGCGTCGATATTTCCAAGAGATTCCCGGGTACATTTCCATTGCTTTTCTAAGAGTACATAAGTCTATGCATACTAAACGTAAAAAGTTATTCCTAATAAGAAATTTTATTCCAACGAACGAACAACTATATCATAAAAGCCCCACACAACAGAGTTTTGTCTCTCGTAGAACAAAGAATGCAATGATGAAAACGTAGCACAGCGAGTTGAGAAAACGTGTTTGGAGGAAGAAACGGCAAAGGCAAATGGCGTCCGATTTCAAGCACAACGTGCGAGCGGGAAGAAATTCGAGCAAGGCAAGCGCGGCCATAATATAACCGCTGCAATGTTTATACAGCCCTTTTCTTCCCCGAAACAACATTATTTCTTATTTTAACTTAATAGCCTTTTATATTCTCAAATTTTATTTCAATATTACTTACCAATATATGCAATATGCTAGATCAAAGTGAGTGTAATAAAAATGGCTTTCATCGTTACATTAAAAAAAAAAAACTGTTCTTAAAAATTACCCATTAAACAAACACCTTCAATACTGCAGAAAGTTGCACTTAAATGAAACTCTACTCCTTTTAATGGATTAAGGTTAAAAGCATGATCTGAAATTTTGTGAAGCGCTAACTCCTTTTAATTTTATTTCTTGAACATAATTTACAAAAATAAATGCTCAAAACTCAGCATAGCAAATATGCTTCTCCATATTAAACAGTTATTCCTTGACAGCATAACTGATTAATCTTTCAAAATGCTGTTAGATTTGATATTGAAAAATTCAACAAAATCTGGAACTCCCAAAAGAACTTATATACAAGTTAATATCTTGAGCATTTCCCATAAGGATATGTTTAACAAAAATTATAACACATTTAACTATAATTATATATACAAATTAATAATAATATCCAGAAGCATAATTTCACGATTAATATCTATAAAAATCATTCTGCCTTTTAGTTCTCAATTTTTGTTGTATTTATATATCCATCCACTATTTATAACATCTGATTCGAAATCCCCACCTTTTTTTTAAATAATTATTATTTACATTTACCTATACAAATTAATAAAAATATTCAGAAGTATAATTTCACGATTAACATCTACAAAGTCATTTAGCCTTTCAGTTCTCAACTTTAGTTGTATTTATATATCCATCCACTATTTATAATATACATCTGATTCGAAATCCACCCTTTTTTTAAAAAATAATTATTTTAAGATATCTGCATTTTTACAAACAATTTTAATGACATAACCTTTAACTTCTCGTTTAAGTCGCTGAATCCTCATAAATTTTAACAAAAGTATGCATATAATTATGTTTATCACTTTGTAAAGTTTTTATGGTCACATTTACGCACCCGATGATCACCGACATTCTAGCAGTTTGAAGTATACAAATAGCACACGTTGACGTACATATAAACATGTGAGTGGCAACAAGGCGGCATGCCGGTTATTTTCCTTTACTCGAAACTAGTTTATAAGGTAATTTAAACAATGTTTAGGATTTAATTACATTTTATAGACGAATGGCATGAATTCACCTTAGAAAAGAATACACGAAAATAGAAATGGTTAGATAATGAATACTAAAGACTATCCTTTTACACAATTAAAAATTATGTAACTTTTAAAAGACTGTTATCAAAGCTTTCATCAATATGTACGCATTCATGCTTACCGGTGCTTTTCATTTCAAAGTAAACAAACATGTTTCTACAGTATATAAAACTAATTTATCTAAATCTCACTTTGGCATTCAAGAATAAAAACCTGTAAATTTAGTAAAATACTTTTACCTTTGATTTTATTCTCAGAGAATATTAAAAAAACAAGATTTTCATATTATTTTACTTTTAACTGCAAAATTATGCACATTAATACCTTTCTAACAAAACAATTGAAAAAATAAAATAACTTAAGCGGGATAGACTTAATGAATTGTGCAAACAAAAGCAAATACACTAAATAATAATAAAATAGAGAAAATAAAAATAAAATATCACTACGAAAGATGCGCGTATACTTTGGCGATGCAGCCAGCGACTCACCGTACTACTTACTACACTCCAACGTGCGATGGCCAACACAAATGGTAATCCATACGCCAGCATAATAAAAAATCAACATAAGATGTGGTATAAACTAAGGAGAATAAACCATGTGGAAGGAATAACAAAACGGTGATCACAAACACGAATATATATCCAAGATGGCTTGCGCAGCGGGAACCGCCAAAATTTGAAGTAGCACACATACCGTTTAAAGTGATCCAGAATACGTTCTTCGCGGATGGTATTTGGTAAATTTCCGACCCAGAGGTGCCTAGTCTCTCTAACCATCTTGCACCAACGTCCACATCAGGGAAACATTTCTTGGCTTCCACCATACAATCGCAACAAACATTATCCTCACGCTATGTTTTCTTCGTGTCCACACGCTTCTACGCTAGAACTCAGGGCTTCGTATGACGTCATTTGAGTGATCTCGCTAGCGACGGGAGCGCGCGGAAGGGTTGCTAGAACCGATCGTACGAGACACGCCAACGTATTGTATTTTTGTCGCCAAAAGACGCCAGCCAAAATTAAATGTCGTAAAAGCCGCCAAATACTTTTCGGAACTGAGATTCTGCTACCAATCGACCCTGCAATGAAAGGACGCTACAGTCGGATTTTAGTTGCTGTTCCCTAGATTGAAGTATTCTAAATGGAAATACTTTGTGTTCTGTAAATAGGGCGTGTTGCAATGCTTCGTGCTTCTTAAAGCAAACAAGCGTTGTGATTAAATTAAGAAAAAAAGAATTTTTCTTTGAAACGAGAACTTACGTTATTGCATGAACTTTGTTTTAATATTCTGGAGAAAAATGAACATTTTTTATTCTGAGCTTAAATTCAATCTTGATGTTGTAAACATTTGTAACTGGAGCTGGTAAACATGCAAGAAATTAAAATTACTAGGCTGTACATGGTCACTGTTCGGCCCATGAATCTACAGATGGTCTACTCGAATTACGTGAATTTCTTTGAAAGCAAGCGTAAGGGGAAGGAAACTTTGCGCATCTCAAGCGCAATTTGATATAGGTTTTCTTCTTCAAAGAGCGTTCACTTTATATTATTTCATTTATTAGCCAAAGGTGTCGTTAACCCACAAGGGCTATTGGTCTCGAAACGGCATTGAGAAGCGCGGATATTTTGTATTTATGCTCGATCTCGAAACGGCATTGAATTGAAGAAGAGCAGTATTTACTGAAATTTCACGCGGAGTGCATTTTTAAAATTCACGAGTTGTTGAAACTTATTTAAGAACATTAAGGCGAGCGAAGCCGCGGGTAAAGCTAGTTAGAAATATATCTCAATGAAATTCGAGGAAATAAGTTTAAATGAAATGCAACAAAACAAAAAGTGCGTATAATTTTATAGGCCTTACAAGGAAGACATGAAATGTCCACATCAGATATTTTCATTTTAGCTTCAAGTAAACTGTAAAGTAAATTAATATTTAATCTAATTTCCGAAAGTTCAAAGTGGTTTCTTCATTCTCTGAATGATATTCAATTATTCTTCAGTACTTCATAATTTTCTTAATTTATTGCTTGTGTTTTGATATCGACAAAAAGTTTCATCACCGGTAACATGTAGCTGAGACCTAAGAAACAGAAAATTAAACAGAATTAAAAAAAGAAATTTTTACATAATAAACTTTTATTTAAAATGGATATGATAAATAATGTACTTAAAGCAGAAAAATACTTTATCTTAGAGTTTAATGGAAATAATAGATTAAATAATTCTATTTACAGAATTCATCTATAGTTTTATATCGCTAATAATAAAAGCGTGAAGCGCCTAAATAATAAATCTATTAATATAATTGCATTGTCAAATGTATAAGCCATTATCATTTTAATTTATGATAGATGCCCCACGTTTCACTTAAACGGGATGTATCACAGACGAACTTCAATATTTCAAATTCCTTGGTATGTCGAAAACAAAAATTATTTCCTGCATTTTCAGTTTTAATCAGTATATTTCCTCTTAGCTTCCTTGATACATTTTCTTCTCATTTATTGTTATTCCATATTTCTGATACCTGTGTCAAAACCAGAGTTATGCTGAGGCAAAGAGTAAATGAGTACCCGCTGTGTATAGCTCAATTAATTGCATCGCATGTAAGTCTCTCTTCAACAAATGTAACTATATAAAAGCATTCTGTATCTCTTATTTTAATCATGATCTTATGTATTCAGATTATGCGTGTAAAAATTTATAATTTTTAAACGAAAACGTTAGAAAGTAGCCTTTTTGATACATAGCAAATCACTCTGCAGTAATATAAAAAGTACTAAAATTAATATGAAAAGAATTACATTAATAATGAAACCTTTATACTTATTGTTTGTAAATTTTAATTAAATATAATCGGAAGAATACTTTTTCAGTATCTAGTTGGTTATTTAATTTATGTTTTACATAGAAAACAGTGATATTTCACCTGAAGCAAAGAGTAAAGTTCTTTTAGGGAGATTTTGCATATTATTTTTTATTATTATCATTTTAAGATTTCTGAAGCTTCTTTGACTAATAAGCAACGTTAAAAATATTCTTAACCCCTTAATAATTGGAAACGTTAAAAATATTCTTAAAAATGTTTTCAAGTTCAGGTAGAATTTAACTTAACTACATTCTGGAATTACCTTTAAAAGAAATTGATTTTGCTTTAGTGGCGAGAATTAGTTTCCTTTTTCCTAGAAAAATCGAATAGTCCCTTAAGGTATGAGTTATCCCTCCACAGAGGATAGTTCTTCCGTTTTTCTGCATTCTATAATAAACGACAAAGTTCTGTACAGAAGGCAAAATATTTAAAGCCTGTAATAGTGTCTTGCGTGAAAAATGGTTTGTGACCTTTAATCCCAATACAATGACGACTATAATCTGTTATTTTAAAATGGGAATTTCAATATATTTTCACCCTCCCTCTATTTACGATCGTCACGTGTGTCGTCATCTCTGCACACTCCTTTGTTAAAGGGTGGCAGACACTAGAATATCTGGGCACAAAGCCTTACTCTTAATCGAATAAGTATTAAAAGTTTGCTAAATAGATTCAAATAAAACAACTTATGAGTAGCTTAAGTTATGAAGTATAATTTTTTTAAAAATCAATACTAAGACTTTAAATTAGGAATTATAAAATTAAGAGGAATAAGTAGAAAGGGAAGTGAAAGCTGTTAAGCTGGTGTCTAATACATAATAAATACGAATCATCCAAAGCCATTGAGAAATAAGATACAGTCTTTACAGAAAATACAAAAAAGCAGACAATAATTGATTAAACTTACGTAATAGATAGTACAAACACAAAAATGCATTAATTTTCCAATACGTTACTGGTTGCCATATGCCTTTTTTGTTATTCGTGTTCTTATATGGTAGTTAGTTTCAGAATTATACAAGATCCGGCTATTAATTTCCAGGACTGACGTAACTGTTAGGAGAACGAAAAGTTGGAAGATGGCGCTAATGATTGCAGATTGAAGAGCGTTTTCTTGCGCATGTGCAGTGCAATCGGCGCCATTCTGAAGTAAGTGGTTCTCGTGGAAAGGCGCACTAAAACGTAGCTCTTAAATTCCTATTCTCGAAGTGAAAATGGAGCAAAGAATTAACAGTAAATTTTGCTTCAAATTGGGCAAGACAGCTACGGAAACCTACGAAATGTTAAAAACAAGTTTACGGCGAGGAAGCATTATCCCGCTCAAGAACTTTTGAATGGTTTAAACGCTTTCGGGACGGGCGCGAAAGCGTCGAAGATGATCCGCACACAAGTCGCCGCAGTCCGTATGCACGCCAGAAGCAATTGAAAAAGTTCGCGATATGGTGAAATGTGATCGTCGATTGACTATTAGAGTACTCGCCAATGAATTGAACATGGACAAAGAGACAGTTCGGCGAATTTTGACGCAAGACCTAGGAAAACGCAAGATTTGTTCCAGATTCGTTCCTCACCATTTAAGGGACGAACAAAAGCAATTGAGACTGGACGCATGTGGCGAACTTATCGACAACGCTGAAACTAACCCTGCGTTTCTGGATAGGATAGTCACGGGAGACGAGTCTTGGTGTTATCAATATGACCCTGAAACCAAGCAATCAATGTTCCGAATGGCGGTCTCAAAGTTCACCAAGGCAGAAAAAATTTCGATTTGAAAAGTCCAAAATCAAGGCCATGTTAATCGCTTTCTTCGATTGCGATGGATTCATTCATCATGAATTTCTTCCTCCTAACGTGACTATCAATGGACAGTTCTACACAGAAGTTCTTGGCCTACTTCGAAAACGAATTCGTAGAGTGAGACCTCATTTTCAACAAAATAGGAGTTGGCTGCTGCTACATGACAATGCCCGCCCACACATTGCATTGCCTGTGAGGTGATTCTTAGCCCAGCATGGTGCTGTTGAAATGTAGCATCCACCATACTCTCCAGACCTAGCAACCGCAGACTTTTTTCTGTTTCCTAAGCTGAAAAATTCACTGAAGGGAATAAGATTTCAGGATGTCGAGCGATCAAGAAAACTGTAACGTCACTATTAAAGAGCATTCCAAAAGAGGACTTTAAAACTTCTTTCCGAAATTTGTACAGCCAAGCACAGACGTGCATTACGGCTCATGGGGATTACTTTGAATCATATTAAATGGCTATGTGTTTAACCTTTTTTCTTCTGAGTTAATCCATGAGTCCTTGAAATTAATAGCCGGACCTTGTAGATATTTTTCATGTTAATATAAAAACTGCTTACCATTTGATGATAAAATGTACAGAGCTGAATGATATTCAATTCCTCGTGATTAACGTTATTTCGAACGTACCAGGGCGCGTTGATAAATTCTACGCAGAATGAACTGTTTTCTATTGAACTACAGAAGATTGCCACGCGTAACAAAGCATAGGACGCAAAATGGTTTTGTTAAATGAGTAACTTGCTATCTATCAATGAAACACTGTTTCGAGCAGTGAAGGAGTAGAGCTTAGCTTTACGCTCTTGAAACTTCTGGATTGCAGCAATACGTGTGAGGATCATCCCAATATAAGAGTCTTGTGTAGCCCAAAGCAGGGTAGTTCCATAAAATTGCAGCTCCTTGTCTATGTTATTCTTTCTCGTGAACATTATTGCTATAGTTTTATCTATGTTGACCTGAATTTTCCATTTGTTTAGCCAAGTCTCCAATGTTTGCATGTGGTCTTGGAGGTCTTGAATATCTGAATTAAGAAATGCATTTTGTAAAAGGATTGTTGTCATCAGCATACATTGCTAGTGTAGGGTTAGGTGTGTTTATGTAGTTCACATAAATCTGAATGTTAAATAATTTGAGGTCTAATAAGGACCCCTGTGGTACGCTTGATAAAGCAGCTCTGCGGGAAGAATGGTGCTTGAAATATGAACGATAAAGTGTCTAGTTGTTAGGTAGGACTTAACTATGTGTCTAATGTTATCCGGAGAGCCCAGATTGTGTATTTTATAGATTAGTGCGTCCAACCAGACACGATCGAAAGCCTTCACTATGTCGAAGGATACTCCACTACTCTATAGAGCTGGTGAGACGTGGATAAATTGCTCCAAAAGCTAAATTTCTGCGGGATTAGGATGTTATTTTCATCCAGGTGTTTCCCGATTCTTATCAAAAGGGCCGCTTCCATCAGTTTTCTTAGACATGTAATACTTGTCGATCTATACGATCCATGCTCCGTAGCTTGCTTTTTCGGCTTCAAGACTGACGTGACTGTCTCAGATTTCCATGTCTCCGGAAAGTGTTGCTATCTCATAATAACAGTGAAGTTTTTAGTCAGCTTTAAGTTGAACTTAATAGTGAAAATTTTGACCATCTTGCTGATAATTTGTTCCACATCAGGCCTTTTGTTTTTTGTGGTTTGAGCTTTTTAATATAGTCAACTTCTGGCGGCCGAATTGGAACAAAGTTGTTTGCGAGTGGGTTTGGTATGTATCCAGAGTGAAAATCAGAGACTATGGGTCCTGTTTTGTGTCATGAATGCTAGTTGTGAAAAATTGAGATTTCAGATGCGATGCTAAAAGTTCTGCGTTCTCAGTTTCGATGTAATGGATCTTATAAAGACCTTTAAGGGGAGGAATTTGATTGTAACGTTTCTTGTTTTTAGAAATAGCTCTCCAGATAGAAATTTCATCTGTGGAGTCTGAATTTAAATAATTAATCCAGTCGTTTTGCGACTGTATATTCATAAGTTATATAAAAGTATTACTGAATCGATTACGTTTTTGCTTATCGGGTGGATCTGTTGTCCTCTGGAAATACCTCGGTGCTGTGTTCCTCTGCCTCACCAGATTTCTAAGTTCAGCACTTCTTTTCAGTCTAAGATTTTTGACAGCTTTACTAGTAACTTTTTGACATCCATAACTTTTGAACTCAAAATAATGTCATTAACGACAAGGCCTATGAATTGTTAACTCTTATAAGTCCACAGGAGTTTATGGTTCTCGATGTCAGATTTCACTTGACTTTGAATGCGAGGAAAAACGACCTATGCACAACTGCTCTTCTTCCTTCGCTTTGAAAACCACTAATACTTGTTATCCTCCTGGTACGGGGCTTCATATTTACACTGATGGTTCTCTTTTGGATTTCACCCAGGCTCTGGTGTTGGTGTTTTCTGTGATTTGTTTTACTTTTACTTACATATGTTGGCTCTCATACATCGCATTTTGACGGCGAAGTCGAGGTTATCCGTTTAGTCCTTCAATAGCTTTCTGCCCGTCTCTTTGCTCTTGATGAGGCTGTAATTTTATCGGACTCAAGTTCTGCTCTTCAGGCCATAGCAAGTAACCTAGGGAAACAGTTTTCGTGTCCAGAGCTGCAGGAAGCTATTGAGCAGAATTCAGACAAAGTTTGCTTTTTAGTGGGTGCCATCACATTGTGGCCCTTGGAGAAAATGAGATGGCGGACCTTTTGGAAAAAAAAAAAAAAAAAAAAAAAAAAAAAAAAAAAAAAAAGGTACGGATATTCTACAAAGGTCTTCTAGAGACCTAATCTTTTCACTCTGCTAAACTTGAAATCAGTAGGATTTGTAAAGATTCTTTCGTAATGCTGTTGTTAGTGCTACTGAAAATAAGTCATGGAGGGTGCTATTAAATGCCGACTGTGTCTCGGACTGTCCTCGGGCTACTGCTGTGGCTGAGTTTAGACTATTGCCTGTACATGACTGCCTTGTTGCTCATTTGTTTCGTATCAATCTGACTACTTCACCTTTATGAGCGTTTATGAGCTGCTCATCTGGACGTGTGCTCTCCACTTAAAGAGTTTGGGCTGTAAACTCTCCACTTGAAGAGTTTGGGCTGTAAACTCTCCACTTGAAGAGTTTGGGCTGTAAACTCTCCACTTGAAGAGTTTGGGCTGTAAACTCTCCACTTGAAGAGTTTGGGCTGTAAACTCTCCACTTGAAGAGTTTGGGCTGTAAACTCTCCACTTGAAGAGTTTGGGCTGTAAAGAAGTGTTGAATCTGATGGTCAATGGCCAAGCATTTGATAAAAAAATACTAGTAACTTTTTGGGTATCTATAACTTTTGGACTTTTTGCATCAGTGAAATCCTTTAACAAACTATCAATGTCATTCTCCGTATGTAATGTTGATAGAGTGTAATGAATGTTATTCAGAGCTTTGGCGAACTTAAACCAGTCAGAACTAAAGGTTCGTTTGCTTGGTGTGATGTAGTACCTGATGTCCAAGATAATTCTTCTGGGTAATGGTTAAAAAAGAACTCGTCCAGCACCGAAATATCCAGTGGATTACTGGTATTTCGGAACAGGAAGAAATCAATAATACCTGTGGACAAAGTATTATACTGTGTAATATCGAGAGGCCCCAACTTGTCAGCAACTGTGGTAGTGACTGCTACTAAGTGTGAATTTACGCAGAAACGTAAGAAGGGTTTGAAGCCCTTTATATTCAACTTTTAAAAAATAACACTGCGTCCACTTGACGCTCACAAACTACGCCGACCCGGCGGTTTAACTGAAACAGAATGTAGAACTGAAAAAATAATGACTGGATGAATAAATAGCGAGATCACTATCCACGAGGCTCTGAGATCTTAAACTAACCTAACCGCGTTCTAACATTACCGCTGAGATTCAGCGAGCTTACTGATTAAGCACTTGAAAGATCCAGCAAAATCTGCTGAGGCAAATTAATTTAAAAAAAAAAAGCAAAATTCTTAAAGCTTTCATCAATCAGCATCAATGAACAATTAAAACGGAAAAGAATTGAAAACGGTGTAATGTTGCGCGCTTCCAACCTGCACGCAACAATAGTGGTGACTGCTATGAACTGGAAAGTACACAAAGTCTTGAAGGGTTTAAATCCCTTTTTATTCAACTTTAGAAATTACAGATGCGTGCTTTTGACGCTCACAACTACGCCGACCCGGCGGTCAAATAAAAATAAGAAACTGAAAATGAATAATAACAAGTGACTACCTACGAGGCTCTCTAAAACGCAACTAACCTAACCGCGTTCTAAGATACCGTTGATAATTCAGCAAACTTCTGAATATTACGTTGAAAGATTTAACTATCTACCGAGGCAAGCACACAGGCCGAAACGCGTGGTTCTTCAATTTCTACCAAGCCACCTCCACGCTCGTGAAGCAAGAAAGCACACTTTTGAACTCGTTTCCCTTTTGTTTAACTCAGATTACTTCCGCTGACAATTTTGAATACTTTGCGCCTTCTACTAAAATTTACATACTCTGGCATTGGCAATTCTAGGGAAAAGTAAAGGCTAGACAGGAAAGATAACTTAAAATAAATGTTAGTTAAAATAAATATAAACCCTACAACTGTGTTCGGGTTCTTGGAGCTGCTATGCGTAACACAGCGGCATTGGCCAAGTCGTAAATTATGCTTCACGCGCTGTTAGAATTATAGCAGTTCCACGCGCGGTGTCATGCGTTTAGGTCTTCACCTATAATAAAACGATGTCCAAGTGTTATTAAAGTGTTCAGATCAGTAGTAATTAATGAAGTGTTCCGATCTAGATGGATATAAGTGGAGACTAATGTGTATGTCATAAAAGTGTTTGTTGTGAGTGTAATAGCTGTAGCCTCAATAGCAAAACGCTGTGGAACTGTAACAGAGTAATGGAGAATACAGCGTCTGATAAGAATAACTGTGCCAACTCTACGTGACATTCTTCCGCCCGTCTTGCAAGACCTATGAACCTTATAGTTGACAACATATATGGGATCAATAAGACTACGTTTGTGTTCTTGTAGAAACATAATACTACGAGAAAAACTCATTCATACCCCGAGGTTCGTTAGTCTTGCGGCTTAAACAATTTGCATTCCGTGTAATAAAGGTTCATATAAATTACTTAAAATTATTTACATTGGTTGAACTAAATACATCTTCGAATATTGAGACAAGTACAGGGTGGCGCAGGGAAACGGGAAATTTTGAACGTTACAGTTGGCAGCACTGTAGAGCCGGAAGTTGTTCGAAACTGTGCAAAGTTGCTGTGAGTGCATTGCCATAATCATGGATCGTTGGACTGGTGCGGAACGTGCAGTAGCTGTGAGAGCGTTTTATAAAAATGGTGATAGTGCGACTGCCGCGCAGAGATTTCGACAGCATTACCAGCTTGGACGTCATGGACGTGTCCCATCTGCGCATGCGATTACAACGTGGGTGCGTAATTTTGAAGAAACATGATCTGCCTTGAGAAAGAAACCTCCAGGTGGCATTCCAACGGCTCAAACATTCTTTACATCGAGACTGTACGAGCTTAATCTTAACATCGAAAACATGTGGTTTCAGAAGGACGGAGCCACGTCACACACTGCTCGACAATCGATGGAAGCAGTTCGTCAATTGTTTGGAAGACTTATTATTTCACGTAATGGTGACATTGAATGGCCTGCCAGATCCCCTGATCTTAGTGTGTGTGACTTCTTCCTGTGGAGATATCTTAAAGGCAAGGTGTACCGTACACGTCCTGCAATAATCCATGAACTGAAGGAGAACATTGAAAAAGAGATCACTGCCATTCCCCAAGATTTGCTACACCACGCATTCCAGAGTTTTCATAACAGGCTGTTAGAGTGTGAACGCCGAATGGGAGAACATCTTTCCGATGTCATCTTTAAAATGTAAAGAGACACTTTTGGACGTTTTGATTGTAAAAACATAAATAGCATGCTGAATACATGCACTTTCGTTAATAAATTTCTAGTTTTATGAATTTATTCGTGGAAATGACGTTATTTCGAAATTTCCTGTTTCCCTGCGCCATCCTGTACAAAAAGGTTATCATAGAGTTTTCGGTTTTCTGCAGTTCAAGAATATGAGCTGAGATTTTTCGTATAATATTCATTCAGAGAAAGACTAGAGAACATATTTTAACTTCATTAACCAGATTATGGATATCTTTATACATACTTAATAACAAACCAAAATTAGGCCCAGTACTTGATTTTTTAAAAGCTTTCGACATTTTAGGTACAGAGTTTTCAGAAATTTTACTTTTAAGAACTGTTGCGTAGAAAGTTCCAAGGAGGTATATTAGAAGTACTATAGCTGGCTTTGCCCTGTGGAACTTAATCATTACCAGTTTTTGTATTAACATTACTAGTCTGCTATGGAAATTTTACACAACCACGGTAGTTAGTCGTGTGTCCAGTTTGGCCACAATTGCAGCACTTCACAACATCAAGCCTCTTCGAAGAAGAATTTTCCCTTCTATACGGGGCTGCACACTTCATATAGCGGGTTTAAGTTAGCCTTCTTCCAAGGAGTGATTTTAAAGTGCTGGCAATTCTGGCACTGAATAACACTTCCTTTAACTCTGTAAGGAATTATGGAAGCATTAACCCTTTGCGGCACAGTGTGTCCGATCTGGACACACCTAAAAATTTCCTTCTGTACGCACAGAAAAATTGAATGAAAGATTTATAGGTTACTCTGAACCTTCTTTATTTATAGTAGATGGCAGCTCTACACAAACTATCCATATATTTTAGCTATCTTTAGTTTTTTAAGACCCTGATTTTTCAAAGAAATCTTCCAGATTCTTTTTTAGGGTATAAAAGAAATTGTTTGAAAAGAAATTTCTATTATTTTTTTTTGGCTGTATGCTAATCTCCTTATTCTATATTAGTTTTAAATTTTTACCTTGAAATCTTGCCTAAAATCAAACGGCGAACCCTAGGTGTACCCAGCCGGGGCTCACCGATAATGAAGGACAACTGAGAGTCTGTATTCTTTGTTTCTCCGCATCTCATCGGTCAGGTCATTGACAACAATGCTCGTTTCAGCTCTCTTTTCGAAGCTCTATGCCAATGAGTGTGCCCACTTTGGACACACCCACAGAATTAAAACGGTCTTCACAAAATTTTACTTGTGTACTCCTCTAGATCTAATTAGACTGCCTAATTTTTTTTAAAAATCAAAACTGCTATTTTAAAAGGTAGCGTGCCGGAAAGGGTTAAAGTAGAGAAAACTAACAATTTCATATACCCGTTCAACACCCGATTCATTCTTTAACTGTATCTGATAGTCACATTGGGGCTTTTGATTTTAGTCTATACATTTGAGCGACTTTTTTAACTTTAAATCCAAGACAGTTGAATTCATCTTCTATCTCATCTTTAGAACATATCGATTTACAATCCTTTACAAACAACTTTTATGGGTGTTTCAAATTTACCCGTAATCACATAATTATAAATTAACTTTTCATTCAGACATTTCGTAATGAAGCGATGGCCATTTTCTGTCTTAGGGAAAACCTTTAAAAACTCACTATTAACCTAACCATTGAAATCTGCCTTAGTTTCAACTTTGTGTTGTTTCAAAATATCCGAAAATTTAACACTAAATCGTACCATTATAGGTTTCATCTAAGGGTGATGAAGCGGGTATCATTATCCTGTCTAGTCTGAAATTCCATGTCTTCAACACTATCATTTTCATTAGATTCATTATTAGCATTATCATTTACAGACTCATCAGTCGTCAAGTGACTAAATTTATTTTTCAGAGGAATTTCAATATCATATTTAGCCAATTTTGTGGGTTTAGCCGTTACTGTCGGTGAAACGAACCCGTTTTCAGACCTGTCATCATTAATGGATCTTTTTTCATATTTCTTTGAGCCTCTAAGAGACCTATTAGTGCTCGGCATTATGCTAACATCCATATTACTATCAATAACAGCATTACTACTTAAGTTATTAACAGTTAAAGATTTCCTTAAAGTACTCACAACATTATCTTCAATATTGGCACTAAGTGAAACGTACTTACTTCTAACATAATCCACAGTTCTTGTCTTGATTTGCAGTTCTATGTCTCAGTCCTTTCCATTAACACCAAGATCTCTCTTCAGGCGCTGATTCGAACTAGAGAAGTCCTCAATGTCTTGTTATAACTCAGTAAGAAATGGCACAAAATTAACAAGGTCCACACAAGTACACGACTATTAAAGTAGCTGAACATTGCTAGTTCGGTCCGGCGTTTAAATCACGGCGAACAGGCTGGCTGCATGGACGTTTTCGTAGTTTTCCGCATTTTTAACGTGTACATGAGCCAGATTTCCTTAGAAAGTCCTCCACGAAGACATCTCTTCGCGTAGCAGATAGCTCTCGAGTGCTTTGCCGTTAACCAAACCGAAGAATCCCCAAGGGGCTGAAGCAATGCACTTATCTTACGGTCGCTCCCACGACGGAAGGAAAACTACTAGCTGCAAGCAGGGGCGAAAGGTCTCCGTCAATTGCAGGGATGTAATCCAGCAGTCTCAAACGATGGCACAATCACCAAAACACTCGAAACATATACTTTACAGAAGTCGAAACGAGCTAAAAAATTTCTATTCGTAACTATTTTATGCAATATAAGACTGTGGTGTTGCGTGGCCCCAACTTGCCCGCAACAGTAGTAGTGACTGCTATGAACTGGAAATTACACAAACTCTTAAGAAGGGTTTAACTCCCTTTTTATTCCACTTTAGAAGTTACATATGCGTTCACTTGACGCTCACAAACTACGCCGACCCGGCGGTTAAACAAAAAATAGAAACATACAACTAAAAATAAATAACAGGCTGAATAAATAAAGAGGTCACTACTTACGAGGCTCTATAAACGTGACTAACTTAACCGCGTTCTAAGATACAAATGAGATTTCAGCAAACTTTCTGCATAAGACGTTGAAAGAATTCAACTAACTGCCGAAGTAGGCACACAGGCCGAAACGCGCGGTTCTTAAAATTCTACCTAGCAACCTTCACGCTCGTGAATCAAGAAAGCAGACCTGCAAACTCGTTTCCCTTCTATTTAACTCAAACTTACTTCTGCTAAAAATTTGAATACTCTGCGCGTCCTACTAAAATTTACATACTCTCGCATTGGCAATTCCAGCGGAAAGTAAAGGCTTGACAGGAAAGATAGCTTAAAATAAATGTTAGTTAAAATAAATATAAACCCTACAAGACGATGATACGAAAAATAAGAAGCAATTCAATAACTGTGTAGTAATATTTCGTGTGAATGTAGGATCTATAAACAAGTTGCCAAGCGTACTTGGATTGTTCGAAGGTACCATGTTCAGATAAAAATATTATTTTAGGAAGTCGAATGCCTTTTAATTTCTTTTGGCGTCTACATTAAAATCTCCCATCATAATCTTTATGTCTGTATCTGTATCGAACTCTTGAACAATAAACAAACTTGACTTAAGTATCTCATGAGCGCATTAAAGGGAAACAATTTTTAATCAGCTGAACTAACTGCCGGATGAATGTATACAGATGTCAGTATAAAACGCCATTTTCTATTAATTGTAATACCGACCATACCTATATCACTAGCCCGTATTTCTTTTATTCTTTTCTTACAGTTTAAAGTAAGCTGACTTGGATTACAATCGGTATTGCCCCTTAGAGTCCTGCAGATAACCACATATTTTCGTTATCTGTCTTCAGAACGACTTTTCAATGTAGTGTTTGTGATGACTTCATGGTTTAATAAGGCACCGTTTAGCAAGACGAAACAAACATTTATTAAATATATAATTCAAAGCATAATATAATAGTTACTCAGAGCAGTACGTCGCTCCTACCGCATAGTACAATCTACTACCTTCCTCTTCCGAGGCTAACATGCAACTCCTAATAAATACATTAACCCTTCTCGAAGAAGAGCTACCTGCGCCAAGCATGCTCTGTTGATCGCCAAACAGTCGCCAGATATCACACCCCCGTCGTAAGATTGTTGTTGATATTATTTACAAATCAATCAGCAATCTGGAAACTAAAATCTAGCAACTGTTTGCGATCAACGTGAAAAAGAAAAAAAAAACTACATATACTTTTATACATTCTCTCCTAATTTTCAAATCTCAATTACTATAGACATACCTCAATTTACTACATAAACATAGATAACACATTTTTATATATAAACATAGATAAATCATTTTTAACTTCACTTGTTCCGAACCTTATTATTATTGTAACAATTTATCAATTCTTAATTCAAAGAAACCAAGTTGATATTTTCTTTTATAAACATGTTAAAATATACCCTAGTATTATTCCAATGATGACAGTAAAATTATTAAGTTTCTTATATATATATAATAAATTATATTCTTATTCTTAGTATTCCTTTTAATTAATGATGCTGCAGCATGATTTAAATCCTTGGGAGACAAATATCTAAATTTACCACTTACCTCGAATATTTGTTATCCAATAATTTCTCTATCTATTTCAAATTACATAAACATCTTATTTGCACAGAATTGTAAAATGATTATGAAAAGCAAAGAAAACTATCTAATTATTAACTATACAAAATGTTCGTGAAGATGAACAGTAAATTAATGTTCAAAGTTCACAAGTGGGAAGTCTGGATAATGCATCCGCGTTTGACAGTTTTTTTCCAGGGCAATGTTCTATTTCGAGATTATATTTCTGCAAAGCTATGGCCCATCGTTGTAATTTGGACGATTGCGGAGCATTTCTCACTATAAAGGCTAGAGGATTATGATCAGTCACAATTTTCACCGATGAACCGAATATCCAAGGTTCAAACTTCTTCAATGCCCATACTATAGCATAAGCTTCACGCTCTATAGTCGGCCAGCTCTGTTGA